ACGAGTAATAATTGACCAGGTCTTAAATCCTTTTTGTCCCGGTTTAGCTTACGCAGGTTCGCATTTTTTATTAAAAATCAAAGACTATTTACAAAAAGTTTCTGAAAGTAGATTTTCTCCGTGTTGAATAAATAAATTGTAAGACCTAAAATTGTAGTTTTAGCAACATATGTTATTGACTAAAATGTTCATAAATTCAAAAAACTACACTTGGGTAAATTGAAGTGCTAATGACAAGTTTGTGGACGATAAAATATTACAATTTTCGAAATGATAGCAAGTACTTAATTGCAGTAAACTAGTGATTTCAAACGTTCTATATTATGTTGAATGGGCACTGAACAAATGGGAATTTCTAACCATGGTTAAAATAAATTCGTGCGGGAAAGTGTGACCCTGTATGTCTATATATAGGCATATTTACGTGCTTGGTAGCGGTCGCAGTACCATGAAGTAATCCGTTTTGTGGAATTATCGCATATAGCGTAACCAGAAAGCAACCTGATTCGACCAGCCACAAATTCCTTCCACACGTAATTAATTCATGACAAACGATAGCACGATGGGGGAAATCGTAAAAATCTTACTGAGATAAAAGTAAGTAACCAAACAAATCGTGCATTTTTAAGTAGCTTGAGTATATTTACTTTACGAAGTAATAGATTGCGCATTTGTCGATCAAGCCTTACGTTTGGCTGAAATTAGGAAAAAATTGATTAAAAGTTTCAATTGGGATAATTTTTTCTTATTTTTGAGATACGAGTAAAGAGTTCAAATTGTTGGTGTTCATCCACTGTCAAATTTAAAAAGAACTGTTTAACATTCTGCTACATAATTCTATCGCGAGTCGTTAATATCTATATTGAACATATATATAGTACAATTTTGAAAATAAAAACAAAATACAGACCTGTGACACGAATATGTAGGGGAATTGTTTTGATCTTCAACTACTTTTCGTAACTCAGTTATACTCAGGATGCTGACAAGTTATTACTGAGAAGTTATTTACGAGTCGCCTAAGCCAATGGTTCCCAACCTATGTGTCGCAACCCAACAGGGGATCACATAAAAATTTCCTTGAGTCGCTTGTTTTTTTTAACAAAAATCTAAAAGTTCCTAATTTCATTTTTTTAATAAATTTTATTGTTTATTTTATATTTGGTATTTAAGTGTTACTCAATAGTAATTGGATACGTGCGAAACATCACAGCGTGAAAACTTGGCAGCATTCATTTTACTTAGGTCAGTGTTTTTCAACCGGTGTGCCGCGGCACACCGATGTGCCGTAAAATATTGTCAGGGGTGCCGTAGGAAATTCTCCAATTTGTATGTCTATGCGGTGTAGCGCCCGGCAGAGTAATCATGTAATACTGTTCTATACCAGAAGGTGGCAGCAGCAGGTGGCGATTTGTCTTTGTTTTTATTTGACTACCATTCAAGATGTCCAACATCTTTCAACATCTTTCTTCAATGTTAAAAAAGCTTATATTAACAATATAACACTTACCGTATATTGTGAATATTAGGTCTTCTTCCCACATTTTCAGCTGGTGGTGTGCCGCGGGATTTTCTCAATGAAAAAAGTGTACCATGGCTCGAAAAAGGTTGAAAAACACTGGCTTAGATAACGCCACGATTTCAAAATCTCGCTATAGGGCATACAAACGCAGCTTTTTCTCGTTGAGGTAATTTCCGAAGAAATGAATGTTATGCAAAATGATTGTTTTATGTTATTCATTTAGTTTTGCGACCATCAAAGTAGTACATATAATTCCATATTTGAGCATATTCATGACTCGCGAGATTTTACAGAACTTACTTTTTAGAAAATTTTGGTTGCATGAAAAAGGTTGGGAACCACTGGCCTAAGCTATAAAACTGATCACCTTTTTCAATTTTTACCTAACAAATACGCCGTGTGATATATATTGTTTATGTACCTCTGTATCTTAGATAGAACTCGCTCAATATCATCAAGAATGTGTTAGCAATAATATCATGTTTTAATATCGTGTTGTTGTAGGAATTTTTTGTTACGTTCTCGTTCTTGTTGATATATATGAAAAATCTCTTTTCTCTTCCACTACTAGACCAATTGCTATGAAATTTTAAGTTGTCAAAGATTGTATGTGTCGCTAGAAGACTATTACTTTTATTTATTCCTAAATTTTCTGAGAATCCTATGATTTCTGATTCATTCAAAATTTCACTGTATTATTTTTAATTTATGCGAACACAGTTTTTAACCCGCCAAACGTGACGGTGATCATCCTTTTTGATTTTGCGAAATCTTGCTATGCGAAAATCGGAAGTTTTTCTATACCGGTAACGCACGGTAGTCTAGATCATAGGTTCTCAAAGTGCTCCGTACGGAGCCCCAGGGCTCCGCGAGAGAAACCCAGGGGCTCCGCGAGCTATTCGATTACTCTTCAAAATACTGACTCAAAATTTTGTAACTGTTCAAAGAAGCAATGACAGCTTTGATAAAATCTGACAACAATATAGCCTCGAAATATGGTAAAGAGGCGGAATCAAATAATGACATTATTTATAAGCAGTGTCGCAGCCAGGATTCTTAAGAGGGAGGTGGTTTAAAATTGGAATCGGAAATTTCCGCGCGACATTCTTCGCGATTAAAAAAAGGGATAACGAAATTTCTGTTACGTAAAATATTCAATCCATGACCAATGGAGCATTTAACGTGACTCGTCGTTATAATGTCGTTACTCACGTTTGATTCGAGGTTACTATTATGATTACTAAAATGAAAGAATACTATTCTAAAATAACATAAAATATGTCATAAACTGCCAACTATAAATAAATTGGGGTCGTATTTTTGCGATCTTGGGATTTGTCAAATTTGATTTGTTCTTTCGCACTTGAGATTATTTTTAAGCAAGATATCGCCGTTTAAAAAATCACAATGTCTGGGCAAAATACGAACAATTGAAAATTATTTTATTGCATTCAGCTCCGTCGGTAGTTTCAGAATGAAAAAGGTACATCGCGGATCGCGCGCACAATTGATTGCGTGCGGCTGCGTCGGTAGTTTCAGAATAGGAAAAAACAGGTACATCGCGCGCACAATTGACTGTGTTTCGATTTCGCAGTTACTACGATAAAAAGCTAACATAACACCAACTTTTGTGATTTACAATGTCTATAAAAGCGTTTTCAATCTGAAGTGAGTCTGCTGAAATCTGCTGTGTCTGCTGTGATCTTCCATTTTAAGTTTTAATATTTTAGAATGCGGTTTTTCAATCAAGAAATTTGAGTTGTGGATTTACCTCTTATTGATTATTATTTTTAGCATTTTGTCGCCGATGACTATAATATGGTAACATGTTTTTAACATTGAACTCATAATTCCCCATAAGAACAAAAAAGCAATTTTACGTCGTCATTGTGTAACACTACATGTATATGCCGAGGGAAATATTTGATTTAGGGAGAATAAACACCGGCGTAAAGATGTTTACATGCTGACGAAAAAAATCGGCGATTGTAACGAAATGAAATCGCGAACGTTATTAACGGCCTTTTATGTCTTCCAAAAATGTCAAAAGAGAAAAGATTCGACCCCTAATTTATTAATATGTTCGTCAAGTGTCAAATTTACAGCTTTAGTATGAAATTTAGATTTATTTATGACTTGTGTTAACCCTATTAAAAAAGGTTCAGCATTTAAAATAATTATAAAGTACATTTAACTTGCCCAGGAATATTAATCTGAAAGTAACAATTTTAACATTTATTTTGGGGCTCCGCGAATAATATTCAACCTTTTAAGGGCTCCGCAACATCAAAAGTTTGAGAACCCCTGGTCTAGATACAGTAAGTTAGTGTAAAGGGTAGAGTACTGTAAATGATTTGAAACACAGTTGTGAATCGAATCATTTAGCATTTTAATTCACGTTGGCACAAGACACATAAATCATTAATGTCACGGAACCTGGTAAAGCTATAGGGCAGCCCGGCTACCGTCACTAATAAGTTACGATGATCCACAGTTCCATCTTCAAATGGGGATATGATTTTTGGGGAAATTGTGGGTAAATTATTCTCTTGTCATCATTATTATTATTTGGTTTTCAACAACGGTTTATGCTGGGTCAGTCATTTCCTGAGTGGCTACTCTCGAGAGATATAGTATTTTGTATTGTTTCGCAAATAGGCTTGTGCCTATTTGTGCCGTAGTACATAGGTTCGCATTGTGCCCTAGCGATCCGCAAGAAAACCCCTAAATTTCCGCGAGCTATTCGTTTACTTCTCAAAATACTGACTTGGCTAATTTTGTAACTGTCCAAAAAAGCAATAACAGCATTAATAAAATTTGACAACGGTGCCGTCGAAATGTTACCGCCTTGTTTTAATTTACTCGGAAACATTAATCGGTAGATAACAATGTGTGTGTTTTTTTTTTTGCATTTTTTCATAATTTTATTGCGGGGCTTCATGAATAATATTCAACCTCATCAAGGGCTCCACAACATCAAAAGTTTGAGAACCCCTGCTGTAGTAAATCTTTTGAATGCCAGTTCAAAGCATGCCCTAGTGCGCCACCCGGGTTGTAGACAAACGACGGTTCGTATGAAAGGCATGACGTTATGTCCTGATCAATCAAAAGCTGAACCGAGAGCAGCTTCCTCCTTCAAAAGCTAAAGAAACGTACACGAATTTACCAAAGGAAGCTCAGAGTAGTTCTACTATCGATGAATATTTAGATGCTGTTGGAGAACATGAGGATAGCTCTTAACTAGATTTAGTACAATACAAAAGAATTCGGATTGGTACGGAGATCAAATCTCTTAACCTTGGTAAAAGTGCAAGTGCTGTTGTTTTTCCATTTCCGAATTATTGGTTATTGGTGAAAATTATAGGTGGGTTGTTGTCAGTGGTGAGATTCAATATTTTAAGAACTCACTTTGCTCTTTTGTATCGAACTCACTAACAGTAGGTTTCCTCATTAAACAGAATCATATGCAACTGATATCTTTGAGAAATATGAACGGGTTCGTCGATCCCATAAATTTCCTAGGCCGGATTCCCATCACTGGTTTTTGTGATGACTTTCGTGACGCCATAATCATGCAATTTGAAGGCGGTAATAGTAACGAGGCAAAGTGATTTCTTTTTTTTATTAATATATAAAACACAGTTAATCGGTACATCTACTACAGCATTATTAATCACTAATCATAAAAAATACACATGCATAATCATGAAAGACAATCAATTATTGTATAAATATCTTTAAATATTCCATGTTTGATCAAAGCAAAGCGAAATTGCGTCATTTATTTAGCGGGCATCATAGTTGTGACATCTTGTGAATTGATTTAGTTTTATTTTAGTATAGTAAGTAACGTTTAGATTAATGAAGCTTAGAAAACAGGCTGAATAGGGTTTTCTCTTTGGGTAGGATTTCCCAACCGGGTAAGATTTTTGCTTCGTATTCGCTGTAGTAATACTCTTATTCTGTAAATATTCAATATTATCAAAATACTTATACCTAATAAACTACTTAAACTCTACAAAAGCAAGTGTGCGACCTTCGCACATCACTAGAAAAGAATCTATTAAAGATTGAACAAATAAAGTAGTTTTATGCACAAGGTCGAAGAATGAAGAGTTTCAAAATAGACAAAAGAAGGAGTTTGCCAAAAAAAGGCTGGTAACCACTGTCTTAGGGCTTCATTATATACTCGGTACTCCTATAGTATGCGAACCAAGATGGCACACCGGAATGTGGTATGTGTACCAGGTTAGGGTTAGGCCATAATTTTATTCCAATTTTCCTTATTTTAGTTCTATAGCGGGTTCGGGGACTAGCCAAGTGGCGTAGTATTTGTACCTAAAATTATGACCTAACTCTAACCTGGTACACACATACTATGTTCCGGTGTCCGCTATCTTGGTTCACGTACTACAGGAGTACCATATTCTTTGCATGGCCTGCGTTATAAAAATATTTAGGCCTGCAATTTGCATTGTTTGGCATAGGCATTCTAATCAATCACACGTTTAATCGCACAGTAAGTTACTGATTATAATTATTTCCGCGTATTGCGAGTACATCACGCTTACAATGACTGTCGCAAAAAAATTTGCCTTTTAGTTCTATCCTGTACGTAGTTAACAATATTGGTTCAAGATTTCACGGGACTGAATACAAAGGATAATAACTATGATATTTGAGCTCAACAGAAATAAGTGGATTCGTCTTTACGTTTTACACAGAATCGCGATAAGTGGAAGGCTACTTTACGAGCCTTGCGTGTAGCGAAGTCATGCAGGCATCTCACCACAACAAAGTATACGGTAGTAACGGTACACACAAAGTATTTGAGTCCTGGCAAATCCAATAGAGCATATTATTACGTAACAAAAGTTTCGCCGCTGGCACGGTTTAGAAATAAACGTATCGAATATCGTGTTTCATGCCTGAGAAACGATCCTACAATAACTTCTACAGTATGCGAAAGTTATTGTCTCACTCCAATTGCAGTGAGATAAATTGAAATCGCAACGGCAGCTGTGGCATCAGAATGCCCAAGCGAACGAATAATCGGACTTGGAGAGTATTGTAACTTAGAATCTAGATTCTAGATACTTAAGTTTGAGCAGTTTTGTAACATTTATGGTTTAAGCATATTTATTTTTCGCTGTTCAGATAATATAGATACTTGGCAAGGTTTTTTCAGGAATTTTCAACACAAATTAGGCAGTCTTAAATCTGAATTGTATGATTCGAATAAATCATAAATAAATGCTGAAAATTTACTCCGGGTACAATTACATAATCAAATTGAATGAAACATAAAAAACACTAATTTTTGTGGCGATTTCATTAAAATTGCGATCACATAGCCGAGCTTGTTGGCAGGGGTGGAATGTGTGTAGTTATCTGCATATTCAGTATTCATTCGTTTATGTGTATGACCTTATTACCGATCAGTCGATCGCAAGCTATTTTGAAGATTTCAGTCGATCGCGGTCGAAAGCAGGTTGGTCACCCCTGGTCTAAGATACTGCGTTTGTGTAGACATTACCAAACAACGTAACTGAGTCTGAACAGCGTAACTGAATTGTCTAATATAAAAGGCAATGGTAGGTGATAAATTGAACAAGCCGCGTAAGCGCATATGACTTGACAATAAGTAATAAATTGTATGCGTGCAAGGCCATCAGAGTATTCAAATTATTTTTAAGAAGCTCGTGCAATATTTTTAAACAGAAGCTTTCATGAGTCGGAGTAGACGGTAAGCCCGAGTGTTTTACCTGAATCGTTTCTCGCAAAACTTTTATTATTGAATACTTTTATTACGACTTATTGAGTAGATATGAGCGAATAAACATATATTGATGATTTGAAGACAAATAGATAATAGGCAGCACTGATTGGAAGTTTTAGAAGCGCATGCATTATCACAAGCTTATAGAAAGAAATGTTTCAGATTAACATTGGTTTGCTCATTGAATAGTCGAGGATTCCATCTCTTTGTTAACTAACCGAACAATTTAGAACCACCTCAGTTCAATCTACAAAACTTGAGTCCACACGCTTGGTCATACTAATCGAGGAAATCATATTACAGTCGAAAAACAATATTGTTATACATGTGGGGTTAGTGTTTCTTTACAGTGTAATTATTACTTAGCAAGGTACTCTCAATCGTTCTAGTTCTGTCGTTCTGCATACTTAACAATTAGAGTGGTGTTGTATTGTTTACGACTTTACAGTACTGAACTGTATGTAGGTCTTTTCTTATTTACTTCCTACATCGGATTGGCATGTGTCCATTGCCACAATGATACTTGAACGAGATTGTATTATTGTTATGGAGATAATTAATAATAGCAAAATCTCTTTCCGCGAAATGCAAGATATTTGTAAGCTTTCGTTAACATCCTAGTCTAACTTCTTCTTAAGATATTCTTAAAAAAATATTGTGTAAGCAAACATGATGTCACGATGAAAAATCAGTTGATTATTATTAGCCGCTCGAAAAATAAAAAGGTTGAGAACCAGTGGTATATACACTAGTAAACAATAGTGCATGCTTATCATAAACTTTTATTAATGTTTAGATTAGTTTAAACGGTGAATATCATCAAGTTCTAAGAATGTACCCAGATGTCAAATGGTCAGTTGACGACCTCGATTTCAGAATTCGTGAGTTGGAACACGACGACATACCAGGAGTACGTGTTTTGGTCAACAACAGTTTACATGAAAACGTGTTTACTGCATTCGAAGCTTTATTTGTGAAAAATTGGCGAATACTGGTAGGGTCAAAATATTCAGAAAAATCTTATTGTAATGAAGTATATATATATCACAGTTTTGAAAATTCATATTACAACAGAATGCATTCCCAGCTGTTGTTTTTTTTCAATTTCGAACATTGACAAAATCCCCAGAAAAAAAAAACTGTTATTTTAAAATATTTTGCTTTGTCGTTATCAATGTAACACGTTCATGAAACTCTCATGCCACATGCAAAAATTACAAGAACCAAAGTTCGACAAAAAAGATTACTAAAATCCTAACATTACTAAACTATATTCAGATTGTTCTGTCAGGATTGACCGTATTGCTTCTCAATTACTTCGGATACGATGCTCAGTATATTGTTGTTTTCCTCTTTTTTCAAATATTTCTCCCGACTATTGCAAGTGAGTTATTTTGTTTGGGCCGCAGTATCGGTGTAACAGTTATATTTCGTGATTGCTAATTTCTTGGATAAATTTGATTTGGATCCCAAATTTGATTGTTTGGTTCGCTCGTTTCTGGATTGTTTACTAATCTTGGACCAGCCTGGGCTGATAGTGCGAGTCTTAAGCGATGATTTTACCGATAAAAAGCTTTAACTGATATTTGAGTGCAGTAATTCTTCATTCTATGACGTCACCAGTTTTGCACCAAGTTGTAAAAAAGTTATTGGACACGAAGAGGACCCATGAATCGTTTTGTTATTATGTTGTTGTTCCTCCTCTTGTTGTTGTTGTTGTTGCTATATGTGATTCGCCGTACCGGTAACTTTTTTCGGCCTTGGTGTTCCTATATTTGAGCATTACTCTCTTGTTTAGGTATAATCAATTCAACACAAACAAATTTAGCACTCGATAAAATAAAAAGTTACCAATCGTTTTATGTTATTTTTGCGATTAGATGCAGTTTCGTTTTATCGTTTCTTTGCACCGGGAATGACAACGATTAAAAAGGAGATTGTCAACGCAGACAAGACTTACGTGAAATTTTGGATTTCTGAGGTTTTCAAAGATGGTCAGTGGGAAAAAGTAGGAACAGCGGCTTTGCATGAAGCAGATCAACTAGAAAATCGCGAAATTCAAACTGGGGAAATAATTGCCTTGAAAGTAAGCACATCTATACGTAACTTTCTATATTTAGCATTATATGTGTTGTATATTTTTTACCCAAAATGCCATTGAGCGAGTTTTGATACACCTATATCCGAGTAATAAAGAGTGTTCATAAACTCCCTTCGCAATTTCAATTTTATTATGAAGTCAGTTCTCAATATATCTTAACCAGGATTGTTGTTTTCAATCAGTATTTGTTCAAGTATTTTTGCTTCATTTGATACATCTGTGAGGGCCAAAACAATATAAGGTGTCGACAAATTCCCTTTGCAATTTTAAAAATTTTGAGACTTTATGGATATCCTATATTATAATATATTAGAGTCCAGAATTTGTGGTTATTGTTAAATAAGAAACGAGTTCTATTCTACTCGTGTTTTACTCATTCGTTTCAGAATGTATCAGTGTCATGCAGTTGGAGATCTAAAAGAATAGGCGCAATGATGGTGAAGCACGCTCTCAGTCAAGCAACTTTGATGAAGTATAAAACCATTGTTGTCCATTTTAGCCAGGGACAGCCAGCCACCCTGCCTTTGTATAAAAGGAATGGATTTGAAATGGTGAATGTGATAAAAACGGGATGCATACCTCTACCATACGGGGTGGATGTATACGTCATGGCCAAAAAGCTCTCGTGAAACAGGATTCAGTGTGACGCGTCCTCTCATCCTGTGTATTTCTAGACTCGCAACCTATTTTTCTTTTCACCCCATATATTGATTTCATAGACTGCGAACAATACAGTTTCTAAAAGTAATCATTAAAATATAATTGTGTCAATACATTCTAATAAAAATACAGGAAAACGTCAAGGAGATTTGCATTTATACCTATTTATCAAATGCACAATGACACAGAGTGTAATTCAGCGGCATTGATCAAAAATGGAGCTTGGCGGACGTGCAAATGCCCAAGATCAAGTAACCATAAGCCTGTTTTATTTTACACAATAATTTTCATTATAATCCATAATCTTGATTATCATGTACGCAAAAAACAGGGTACCTCCTAAGTATGTGAACCAAGATGGCGGACACCGTAGTATGTGTACCAGGTTAGGCCATAATTTCAGGTATAAATACCACGGTAGTCACTTAGCCAGTCCCGAACTCGTAATAGAACTAAAATAGGAAAATTGGTATAAAATTATGACCTAACCCAAACCTGGTACACATACCACGTTCCGGTGACGCAATCTTGGTTCACATACTTCGGAAGTACAAAAAACAGAACACATCTTACGTAAAGACATCATATGAAATTAGAGATCCTCACAAATTAAAATGTTTAATTTGTTTCATCTGAAAATGTAATTCTAGGTCGCGTTATGTCAGCAAAAGACAAAAATAAAATGTCAATAGACTTTGTAATTGGACTTGTTTCCAAACCTTATCATATATGAATGACATTTTGTCTACGTTTGATTCTTGTAACGATGAAGAACTACAGTGGAATGTAACGATGAAGAACTACAGTGGAAACTCTACCTACGAAATTAATTCGATACAGAAGCCCCCTCGCAGGTAGAAAACTCCGTAAGTAGGGAGGCAATTTACCTGTAAATGCGTTTCCAAGCCCCCACAAGAATCGGACATAATATTTGTATAAATTATAAAAATGGTTAAACCCAAAACAAATACATGTTGGAATTAGATGACTGCATTTAATTAATAGAAAGTGAAAAGGGAAGGAAGATCTGAGAAATACCGAACTACGAACGGTATGTTTGTCTACCTTTGGCATGGGCCGACCATGCTAGGCTGAAAATTGATCACGAAATAATAGAACAAGAATAAAATACGAGATAGCGATCGGAGACCGCCGACTTCTCGATCTAGTGGTGTATAACTTCGCTCTGACTCAATAGCGACACCGCGTGTCTCATCACTAAATAATTAATAACTTGCTAATTATAGACATGATTCATCCAAAATCAATAGGCTTCTGGACCGAGATCTGATGAATGCACATGCAAAATGCAGATTCAAGCTCACTTTCGTGACATATAGCGTACATCTAAAAGACAGACAGAAAAATACCTATCAACATACTTACAGATCGAGATCGATGAGTAATAATAAAAAGAAAGTAAATTGTTCAATTAGAAAAATATACAACACAATATACACAAAATAAAGTTCACTTCAAGTAATTTTTTCGATATTGATTCATAATCATAAATAAACCTTGGTAAATAAACCAATCCACCGGTTATTTCAAGACATAACTCTGAAAATGCAAGATAATGTTTCCATTTTATTAACAACAGATGCCAAATTACCCATTGAAAAGCATTGTCCATATATAAATAGCATTCTACAATACCGCATCATGTATGGTAACATTGTCAAGTTAATGCTGTTCAAATGCAAAACAAAAAAAAGAGTCAGTCCACCAGTTAATCATACTGAGAAGTACAGTGCTGCAATGCATGACAATGTTACAATATTTAGATAATATATGAAATGCTACCATAATTTCCATAAAAGCATACTACAATCGCATTATATATGGCTCAAATTGTCAAGTTCAGTGGTTAAATGTAAAAGAGAAAACAAAAGCAAATCACTCCAATTATCAAATGCTAACAGTATGAAACACAATTTAATTAAAAATGAAAAAAAGAAATCTCGGTAAGAAGTTGTAAAAATGTAAACAGATCATTATTTCAAGTAGAATTAAAAAAAAATGATGTCATCATAGTTCTCTGGTAGTTTTCCTGAACTGAATGCACCCTCATAATTCTATCCGATTTAGGGCTTCAGTGTTACTAATAATAGGTAAGGCTGTGCATTTTCGAATACCTGATGATTTCAGAATCGCATCAAATTTTTTTTTTCGAATCGAATCTCGAATACTTGGGAGATATATAATTGTATGTAACTTTCTTATTGTATTGGGTCCCCCAGACACATAAATTACTGGAAATGTAAATTACACCACTCAAACAGATTGCTGAGAGTTCACACACAATAATAAACACGTTCTCATCAATAACTCACTACAGAATAGAGTGGTATGTCAGAATTTTGTTGAAAAAATATGGCTTCAGTAAAATAATTGAGAAATTTACTTCAACCATTGGCAGAAAAGAAAAAAACAAGATTGCCGGGATTCGAAATTCCGCTCCTAATCGATTGGAATAATTTACTATTCGAAATGCCCAGCCCTACTAATAGGTCAGTTTCTTTTAGTTCTGTACGAGTGCGCGCTCACCATAATTGTATATAGTTCCAGTGACTTTTGTGGTGGCTTGTAACATCGACCAGATATGAGAGTGCGTAACATTGCAAAAAAGTTAGTACAATAAAAACATTCAACGAATCAACCAAAATTGACCAGTAACTGTATTGAAGCATTAAATAAGCTCTAAACTCGAGCCCGATCAAGTATGATCCATAGATGATAATATTTTGAGATATTGGTTTACCTATGAACCATGCCGATCAGTTGTTCATAAAACATGAGATTAAAATAATATATTTTAGATTTAGAATAATAAAGTGGTGACATCACTGGGCTATGCAAGTAAAACTGGTGAATATTTTCTACAGTGTCAAATTACATTAACAAATCTGATTTAAGGGTTTGCATATTTTATTCAATGTTTTTAGTAAATTACCATTCGCCGTGAATATGCGATGCAGGTTTCAGGTTAATTTTGCGCGAGTTTTCCTCAGCTCAGTTTTTGAATCTTCAATATCTTCCTTTCTCTCAGCTTCTGTCCTATAATCTGAAGCCTTTTCATACGCACCAATGGCTTTGATATAATGAGCTTCTGCTTCCGAATATTCATTCAGATTATAATACTCTACACCGACATTATGCAGCAATAAACCGTAAATTTGATATTTTGAGGCGTTTGACCCGAACTGTTTCTCCAAAACCTCATATCCATTCTTTCGTATTTTCACACTTTTTTTCTTTTCTCCTGCCAATGAATAGTTATATCCTATGTATTCACAGAACCAAGCCTCTTTCACTGCCTTATTCACTGGATCAGCGTTTTTTATTGCACGAATAACATCCAGCATTTCTGTCATGTATTCTATGCCGTAATCTACTCCTAGAATTTTAGATCGACCACCGGATTTTATCAATGACTCTGTAGCATCATATGTCTTACAGACACAAAGTTGAATCCCTTTTATTACATCATCAGGCGATTCCGAGCAGGCTCTGTACATATCACTTGCTATTCGAAGCAAAATTATAGCGCGAATGTATGCTGAATCTGAAATCAAATCGGTCGCAAGGATTCTGACATCATAGGCATTGATCACCGATGACGTCATCAAAATATTTCGTAGGTTCTCAATAGATTTTTCTGCTTTCTTTTCTCTACCAAGTTGTATGAAACACTCGACCATCTTAAGTATTGTATAGAAATCCTGATGGGTTTGCAGGGTTGCCAGTTCTTCCAAGAACGGTACTGCGTCTTCATATTCAGACTGGTCGAATAATTCGGAAGATTTTCCTGAGAAATAAAATATTATTTTTCAAATATAATTATGTATCGCATAAACTATAAAGAACATTGTACAGAATATTTCAATGCATTCAAACATAATGACCTAGTGGTTTAGGCCTTGGACTCAGCGATATCGACTTCACAGATTTAAGATCTCGAGTTCAAGCCCAATGCCCACCGAGTAACTGTGAACCAAACATAATCTGTACCATCTAGAATAACATCTCCTTGCGTATCAGTAGCGGCTCGTACAAACTCCAGGTTGCAATATATCATAAAAAGTGAGCTGTCAAATATTGAGGGAAAAATGTTCCTGGTACTCATTATATCGGCAAAGGGAAATTGGATCAGTCTACGAATAAGTTACGAACAACTCATTGACTTCCAGACTGTACTATCTAATTCAAGGATATGAACTAGGATACATCTATTTCCACTCAAAAATATTTAAAAACTGATTTCAACTTCAGATTCAAAAACATCGACTCCAACTTTATCAGTGATGACAATAGTTCAGATATCTTAACTATAGCTATGACAAAAATATTCTGCTAAAGAAAAAATTATATGGATTTGACTCCAACTAAAATATTTTTTTAATATGTCCATGGCACTGACTTCACTAAAAAACGACTCCAACTTCCATCCATTCATTCCAACTTTTACAAAATATATTATACTTACTTTGTAGCATCGAAATCTTCGGAGCATTAATTAAACTCTGTGCAGTCATATAACTTGGAACGGCTGCAGTTTGTTCTGGTTGAGGGTTGAGAATTTGAGTACGAGGTGGCCGATGGTTAGATTGAGTTGGTTCTCTATCTTTCTTCGTTTGAAGATTCTGTACTTCAAGATCTTCTGAATATAATATAATATATTATTTACATACTGGATTTTCATCGGGCTATTTTAAATTTTGCCTGCTGGGCGAAATATTTTCTTATAGAAGTCTGATTCGTAGTAGTAAAAAAACAGAAAAATCATTAAATCAATACCATTAAAAAGCATGTTTTTAGTTTCATTTACTTTGAGAAAAATTACACATATATACAGGGCTGCCATAATGTCCTCATCTCAAGATTTGTCCTTATTTTTGAAGTTTCTTATTTTGACTTGTGTCCTTATTTTTGTTTCATTCTAGAGGTAGAGGTTCTAATACAAGACACTCAGATTGGTCAATTCCCATGATTGACTTGCTAGAAATGATATAAGAACCTTATTGATTGGTGCAATTGCTGGTGCAAATTAGATTAGACACGAGTCGCACTGGCATAAATCCACTTTGTCTGTTACATTTCGTTCTTTGTTATCTTATCATTATGTTTCCCTGATGCCCTTATTTTTGGGTTCATATCGATGACAGCCCTGCTTATTGAAATCATTCGTGAATAACATATGAAGGTATGTGGCATTCTACCAATTTTTTTTTTAGATTCAATTACATTGTCTTTATCAATTTTATTTGTTATTAATGGCTTAAACAAATCTTGTCGCAATAATATTACTAACCATTTATTTCAATAGCATCACTCTCAAGAGCCTCTGAGATTTTTGATGACAAATTCAAAGCATCAACACCTTCATCGATTACAACAGGTGGAACGATAACAGCTGCCTGTTGTTGACCAACATTCTGAGCATTCTGTTGTTGTTCAACATTTTGAGCATTCTGTTGTTCTTCCGCCTGTGGAATATTTATCAGTCCAATCTCCCCTGCAGCAATCTCAGTCGTCCTTGTTCTGAATAACATACCGAGGCATAGATAAGATATTTTAAATTGCAACATTTGGTTTATACCAACCGTCCAGTTCAGCTTGAAATATTAGACTGGCATTTAGTTTTTTTGATAAACTAAGATACTGTTCATGAATACTTAGTAGACTATATTTTACAAGCATCAGGATCTAAATATTATATTTACAATGCAGTGCTAACAGAAATACATTCAAATTGTTTATTCGAAATCTCAAATGCGTTTTTATTGTTAAATTCAAAGCTAACACAAGAGAGACATCAACCTATGTCACCTCCACCAAAATTCCTCCAATCTCGACATTGCTTATACAGTATTCCTGTATTCTGGAGGCAGTTATATAAGATGCCAGGATGATACGGTACATTTGCAAACTTGTGTTCTAGTAAATTAAGTAACCAACTTACTGCACAATTTCTCGCTGAATTTGCGGATTGCCCAAGGAAATATTAATGTTATATACATTATGCTGTTTCTGTTGGTTTTGCTGTCCACATCCCGCCATGTCATCTGTTCACAAGAACTCCTTGGATTTTCGACTTTGTAAATCCAAAGTGTGAATAAAATGTTTGACTACTATAATACAAGGCAGGTTGTAACCAATGAACAGTCCCACTACTTATTAACGCTTTTCACACGCTGGTATAACAGAAAGTATGGTAATGTACGGTACGGTACCTAGCCTACATTAGAACTGTGTGTAAGCTTGTTAATCGCTTGCGTGTCAGGATTTTACAGTTAGCAAACAATACGCAAAAACAAATATTGTCCAATATTTATTCAGCCGAGACCAAATTAATTGTGTCGCCCCACTGCAATATTTTGAAGATTCCCGATTATAGAGTCCCTTTACCGTTATGCGATCATTTCCACCAAAATGCCTCTAATATTCTTTGTATTCACAGTAACACTTCATTTTTTTATTAACATACTCTACAAATCCATCTCAATCATTTCACCATGTCAGTGGGGCAATTGCGATCAAAAACGTACATTTGCGATCACTAAAAATATCTCGCCAATCGAAGTGCCGAAGTTCCTGTTTTAGACCCTAAATAAGGGGTAGTTATAAAATGGCTATGTCCCATATGTCCGCTATGTCCCTACTAAAATGGCTATGTCCGCTATGTCCCTACTAAAATGGCTATGTCCCATCTGAAATTGCGTCTCCGATATTTTCCTACTATAATGACTATGTCCGCTATGTCCCTACTAAAATGACTATGTCCGCTATGTCCCTACTGAAATGGCTATGTCCGCTATATCCCTACTAAAATGGCTATGTCCGCTATGTCCCTACTAAAATGACTATGTCCGCTATGTCCCTACTAAAATGACTATGTCCGCTATGTCCCTACTGAAATGGCTATGTCCGCTATATCCCTACTAAAATGGCTATGTCCGCTATGTCCCTACTAAAATGGCTATGTCCTATCTAAAATTGCGACTCCGATATTTTCCTACTAAAATGACTATGTCCGCTATGTCCCTACTAAAATGTCTATGTCCCATCTAAAATTGCGACTCCGATATTTTCCTACTAAAATGACTATGTCCGCTATGTCCCTACTAAAATGGCTATGTCCGCTATGTCCCTACTAAAATGGCTATGTCCCATCTAAAATTGCAACTCCGATATTTCCCTACTAAAATGACTATGTCCGCTATGTCCCTACTAAAATGGCTATGTCCGCTATTTTCCTACTAAAATGGCTATGTCCGCTATGTCCCTACTAAAATGGCTATGTCCCATCTGAAATTGCGACTCCGATATTTTCCTACTAAAATGACTATGTCCGCTATGTCCCTACTAAAATGACTATGTCCGCTATGTCCCTACTAAAATGGCTATGTCCCATCTAAAATTGCGACTCCGATATTTTCCTACTAAAATGACTATGTCCCTACTAAAATGGCTATGTCCCATCTAAAATTGCGTCTCCGATATTTTCCTACTATAATGACTATGTCCGCTATGTCCCTACTAAAATGACTATGTCCGCTATGTCCCTACTGAAATGGCTATGTCCGCTATATCCCTACTAAAATGGCTATGTCCGCTATGTCCCTACTAAAATGACTATGTCCGCTATGTCCCTACTGAAATGGCTATGTCCGCTATATCCCTACTAAAATGGCTATGTCCGCTATGTCCCTACTAAAATGGCTATGTCCCATCTAAAATTGCAACTCCGATATTTTCCTACTAAAATGACTATGTCCGCTATGTCCCTACTAAAATGGCTATGTCCCATCTAAAATTGCGACTCCGATATTTTCCTACTAAAATGACTATGTCCGCTATGTCCCTACTAAAATGGCTATGTCCCATCTAAAATTGCGACTCCGATATTTTCCTACTAAAATGACTATGTCCGCTATGTCCCTACTAAAATGGCTATGTCCGCTCTTTTCCTACTAAAATGGCTATGTCCGCTATGTCCCTACTAAAATGGCTATGTCCCATCTAAAATTGCGACTCCGATATTTTCCTACTAAAATGACTATGTCCGCTATGTCCCTACTAAAATGGCTATGTCCCATCTAAAATTGCGACTCCGATATTTTCCTACTAAAATGACTATGTCCGCTATGTCCCTACTAAAATGGCTATGTCCGCTCTTTTCCTACTAAAATGGCTATGTCCGCTATGTCCCTACTAAAATGGCTATGTCCCATCTAAAATTGCGACTCCGATATTTTCCTACTAAAATGACTATGTCCGCTATGTCCCTACTAAAATGGCTATGTCCCATCTAAAATTGCGACTCCGATATTTTCCTACTAAAATGACTATGTCCACTATGTCCCTACTAAAATGGCTATGTCCGCTATTTTCCTACTAAAATGGCTATGTCCGCTATGTCCCTACTAAAATGGCTATGTCCGCTATTTTCCTACTAAAATGGCTATGTCCGCTATGTCCCTACTAAAATGGCTATGTCCCATCTAAAATTGCGACTCCGATATTTTCCTACTAAAATGACTATGTCCCTACTAAAATGACTATGTCCGCTATGTCCCTACTAAAATGGCTATGTCCCATCTAAAATTGCGACTCCGATATTTTCCTACTAAAATGACTATGTCCCTACTAAAATGGCTATGTCCCATCTAAAATTGCGTCTCTGAAATTTTCCTACTAAAATGACTATGTCCGCTATGTCCCTACTAAAATGACTATGTCCGCTATGTCCCTACTGAAATGACTATGTCCGCTATGTCCCTACTAAAATGGCTATGTCCGCTATGTCCCTACTAAAATGGCTATGTCCCATCTAAAATTGCGACTCCGATATTTTCCTACTAAAATGACTATGTCCACTATGTCCCTACTAAAATGGCTATGTCCGCTATATTCCTACTAAAATGTCTATATCTCTACTAAAATGGCTATGTCCCTACTTAAATGGCAAAGTCCTAAATGGCTATGTTCTAAAATTGCGATTCCGATTAGTTTCAACTAAAATAGGTATGTCTGGAATATCGGATCAAAATTGATAGATTTATATCGAACATGATCATCACCACAAAATCAATTGTGACGTAGGGTTAAGAAAAGAGACTTTGAAATTAACATCAAATCAACTGTTACTTTGTATCTAGCTTCTAGACTATAGATGCAATTTTTCAAGTTCTAATTTTGATTTAAAATTTGCACATTTTTAAAATCAACTATTCTAGAATGTCAAAATAAATTGAATGGTAGTAGTTAATATTTTGTTTAAAACTTACCTATAAGGTAGATATCAAGGTGATCCAAACCCAGGCATGCAAGCCACATGTGGCCCGCCGCTTCATTATCTGTGGCCCGCGTCACATTCGGAGAGTAATCAAAAAATTGCATTTCGTGTTGTTTCGTAATAAAATTGAATAGAAAAAACTTTTGACATTTTGTTACATCAATAATGTCACTGAATTGACTAGTGTTATGGCTAGCTGAGGCAACTAGCGAAGTTGAATGATGTGCTTGGCAGTCTAAATCGTCATCTGGCTTTCTATCTTTTACCTAATCTAAAACGTGTGGGAGAGGAAAACGTGTCATTTAAGTAAATGGATATCGGTTTCAATATTTTTTTTTTATTCGAAAATCTCCTAATTCTGTACTTTCTAATTTTGTTTTTGATGAATAAAATTATAAGACATTCCCCGAAAAGAAGCTCTAGTGATATTTTTCGAAAGAAAATTGAAATAAGACACTGTCTTATTTTCGCGGAAACACGGTAGGCATCATCGAAAACTAAAAATCGAATGCGGATTCTATTAGCCTGTGATGGCTATGTCTGAGTGATAACTATGTATTTGCACAATAAAAGTGTTTGTTTTGTATTGCACTGTTTACCTATCCTTGGCACTATTGTGGCCCGCGAACAATGCAAAAGTAATTTTGTGGCCCGCGAGGCGACAACCTTGGACCACCCTGTAAATATATATTCCGTATTAGTGACGTCACAAAGGACATTTCCAAGCTAGTATTCCCAACGTTGCCACATAGTATGACTATACCGTAAAGAAGAAAGAGACAAGGAAATTATCAAAAATTAAGATAGCATTTTTAAAGTGCTTGTTGGACTGCGTATAATTTGGAATTTATTTAGCAAAACACATTTATTGTTTATGCTGTGCAAATTCATGAGTGTGGTATCTTTTTATTGCGAGTTGGCACCATGTTGTATTTGTCGACGCTGGCACAACGATTTTTTTCATTTCTGCCGGATCGAGGTATGTATCAGTCATCATACAAATGCTTGTTTTGCGGTTTGGATTGTTCAACTGGTTGCATTGAATGTTCTGGTTGTGAACGCTGGTGCCATTTCGATTGTGCCCGGATAGAAACCGAATTACGGCAACAATGGGGAGAAAAACATCTATCTTACTATTGTAAATCTTGTGTTTTTCTTGACCATGGCTATGATTTCGAGGTGTCGATGAGAAGAGTTATGAACAAAATTGATCGTGTGAGTTTTGATACCAAAAATGTATATAAATTCCTGAAAGAAATAGCTGAGCAGGAGCAAATGCTGATGGACGCACATAAAGTAAAGCTTCCTGAGTTTCCAGAATCGAGGAATTTTCAGGGTGAATTAGATGAACCGTCCAATACTCTGTTACAACAATTGTCGCCATCGGTTTTAGATGAATATGAACCGATATATACGATAGGTGATGGAAATTGCCTGTATCGGGCAGTTTCTTTTGCTTTGTTTGGTACACAGGATCATTTCCTTCATCTTCGCTTCTTAACTATTATTGAAATTCTGTCTTATCCCCAGTATTACGACATCGAGAGTACAAATTTACATCCAGTCCTTAAAGACTTTAGGATCGTTACTCTGGATCTGAAAAACGTACTACACTGTGCAGCGACAATTGGCAGCCATTGTGGGATGGATTGCTTATTGGCTCTTAGCGCCGCATTGAAAGTTTCATACAACTCCTTTCAGCCTTCTACCGGCCCAACAGACATGCGATCTCCCGCTTATTCAATAAGTATCCAGGGTAGGGAGGTTTCTTCGAGACGGGGTCCATATTTTCACATAATGTGGACTACAACAAATGTTCCTGCAAATTTTATTGATTTCGTACCCAATCACTTCGTTCCTTTATTAAAGAGACACCTTCGACAAAGTCAAAAATTGTCCTTGAATACTTGCATTGATCTGGAGGGACCAGGTCTGGAGATTTCAAATTGCCACACTGAAGAATCTGAAAATATGATATCCAGTATGATTTATGCGCAGACTGACCAAAACACTGTAGACGAGGGCTGGCATGAGCTTCCGTTTGGTATTTTCTTGGGTATTTCAGAATTGTTGAAAATATTCAAAAACAAAACCGTGAAAGTTAGTCCTAGAATACCAACGGGGGAGAAAAACAACTGTTATTTCATAGTTGATCACAACGAAAACATACGCAGAAAAGAGAAAAAAGTGAAGCAAATTTTCGAAGACGATTGCGGAAGCTGGAAACAAACCAATTATACCTCCGCTCTGTATTTACTTCAAAATGACGAGGTTAAATATATTTATGAGAAAGGGGGGAGATTT